AGAAGGGTCTGGGAAGTTCCCCTGGTAATACTTGGAGACTGGACGTTCCTCTGGTAATGGACTTCTCATTTGGTTTTGTTTATCAGCAATAAGGAAAGTTTATTTGTGATTTGGGGAAAAGAGAACACAGATTCCCTGCCCCAACCTGCCATGGACCCTCGGCTTTGCCTGGAAGGGCCCAGCTGTTTCACAGACTGGACCCCAGGGGCAGGAAGGGTCGCTGCCTGGATTTACACCAGTCTTTAGGGAATGTCCCAGAAAGCAACCTGAGCCACCCCTTCCCTGAGAAATGAAGTTCTCGTACAGGCAAGATGTGTGTGGGTGGGTGGGGGTGTTGGAGAGTGACTGATTGAATCTATGCCTTTGAACATCATGCAAACAAAACAGCTTCAAGTTCTCTGTTCCTACCAATTCTAGTTCCATGGACAACACGAGGGCTTTGGCCTTCACTCAGGACAGAGGTTAGCTAGGTTTGTCCAGGGGGTGGCATTTAGGGCACCACAAACCTGGGGGTCTAAAGCTTCCCAGAGGGATTTCCCGAGAGAGTGCTGATGTCCACGGGGAAGGGAAGAGAGGAGATGTTGCAGCCGTGGGAACACTGTGGCTCACAGAGCTAACCGCAAAGAGGACAGACGGCTCAGGAGTGCAGCACCAGGGAGCCTTCCGTCCTCTGTGCTGGGTGTGGGGGCGCGTGCGTGCAGGCAGGGCTGGCCCCTCCCAGGCACCTGTCTACTTGACTGGGAAGTGGTAGCCCAGTGCCCAGGGCAGGGAGGCGGTGAGCCTTAGCAGAGCCCCCAAGCTCTGCTTTCTATTTTGGCGTCCTGGCAAAGCCTGCACTGCCTGGGCTGCTGCCCCTCCCCATGGCAGCCACAAGCGAGACTGTATGCCCCTCGGATGGCCAAAGTTGCCCTCAGAGCACACGAGAGCCCAGGCTGTGCAACACAGGTGATGTTCTGGGCGGAAGGAAAAACATCTCTGGAGATGGAATCTTGGGCCCTCAGATTTCGCATCCCTCTTCAGGTTCATGAGCTAGGCACCACACACTGCTGAGCTGAGGAGTGCCACTTGGACTGAGGTCAGTGTCCAGCCGAGCCTGCTAAGGGGAAACGCCTTGAAGCACTCAAGACCTCTACCTCGTCATTCTTGCCCAGCAATGCCCTGAAGCATCGCAGAGCACCTGCCCTGGACCCATAGTCTGTGTTCCAGGGTGACAGGCCATGGGCTCCAGGACGCTGTCTTTGCAGAGGCCAAATGGGCTGCGTTAGGTCAGGGGTGGGGAAAGCAGCGGGCCCCAGAGGCCTCTGCACCGGCAGCTGAAGGAAAACAATACCAAAACTGCTTCTCAAACAGGTGTCCAGCCCCACAAAATACTCTTGAACTGATTGGACAGCCCAGTCCTTGCTACTGAGAACTGAACATGGAACAAGACAGAGAGAAGCTGCCACGTTTTATGGTATTTCCTCCTCGCTCTCCACACCTGGAATTCCCAGGAACAAGAGACTCTGGACCTCAATTAGTGCCCCTGGGCGGTATGATGGCTGCTACGACAACATTTTCAATATCCTGTCTTATAAAGGCAAATAAAACCTCACTGTTGGGTGGCAAACCTATTTCCACAATCCTGACTGATTCACTGTGCCAAGAACCATGTGTGTGTTATGCACGCACTGCTGTGCCTCACTGCCACCACCAATGAGGAAGACAGCACTGTGACTCTCGTTTTTCAGACCAGGAAGTGGTACTGATAGAAATGAGGCTAATCCAACCAGCCGAGAAAGCAGAATGAACCTGCCTCTGCAGCAGGTGCCCTCAACCATGACCCTGCGCACCAACAGACGGGAAACATACAGGACCTCGAAAACTCAAAAAGAAATGCAAGGGGCCTGCAGGGTTCAGCTAAAAGAAAATGCAAAGATGAGGCTGTTGGTGCAAAATTTTTTGAAATCCATGCAAGCTTCCTTTGCCATATACCATTTCCCACGAGCTTTTAGGAGCGGCACCGTATTAAGCTGTGCTCTATGCGACAGGTAGCTGTCCCTGGGTAATTACTGTGGTGGTGCAGAATTTTTAAACCATTTCACATGGGTCCATTTCTCCAGCGCCAGCACAAAGTTCAGCACAGAGTGGGCACACCAGTCCTGCCGAGTGGGCAGGTGGGGAGTGCGTGAGTAAATGGACCGCACACTTTCCTGCTATGCAAAGGAGCAGAGGAAGGAGGGCAGGACCTTGGCTTCCCTGTTTCCACTCATTTTGAGCTAGTGACTTGGAAAGATACGTAATTCACTTTTCCTTCTTCACAGTATTAGTGCTAATTAAATACAGGATCATATCTCTTACAGACACATGTAGGTGGTCTACAGAAACAGATTAAAACTTGAATGGCTAAGGAATTATGCACTGGCATTTTGAAACTTTGACAAATATTTTCATTATCTGACTTGCTAAGGCAAATTATTGGTTCACAGGTAACAAGAGGAAGCAGCCTAGTAATGAGCAAAAAATATTATTAGGGTTTAAATCTCAAAATGCTCCATGATTCCTATTAAAAAATTATAAGAACCACATTAACTTTCTCATTTGTGATGACTGTTCTTTTCCCCTCTTTATATAAAAACCTTCTTGCACGTATGTGCACCATTTTTAAAAACCCAGGAAAACGAACAAAACCGTCCACTCAATATCAGAAGCATTTTATCTGAGAAAGGGAGCAAAAATAACATAGTAGAAAACCTTGATTAATTAAGATGCATGTGCTTGGTTGTTCTCTGATGATTACACTTGTTTTTAAAAACAAAAGCAACTAATAAACAGTGAGCTACGCTCTCATTAATTATGACTTCTTGGAAACAAAGAGGAATCCTGCAGGGGGATATTAAAAAGAAGCAAAGTTTACTCTTCACCATCACTAACATGGTGATAATAAAAAGACAGACAGGGTGGGTGTTGTGGCATAACAAGCTAAGTCCCATTTTGGATGCCCACACCTCGTGTCTGAGGGCCTGGGATGAAGTCTCCCCTCCACCTTTCCATGCGGCTCCTTGCTGATGCACCCAAGATGCAGCAGATACCTGCCGCCCACGTGGAGTCCTGGGTGGAGCTCCAGACTTGGGCCCAGCCGGACCCAGCCCAGCCCAGTCCAGCCCAGCCCAGCCCGGCCTGGCCTGGCCTGGCCTGGTCCAGCACAGTCCAGCCAGCCCAGCTCAACCCAGCCCAGCCCAGTCCAGTCCGGCATTTGGAGAATGAATCAGCAATAGAAGAATCTCTCTCTCTCTACTTATCAAAAAAAAACATATAACTCTTCAAAATAAACAAACAAATAAATAAATAAAGCCCAACACTAACAAGCGCTGGTGAGGATGCAGGGGATGGAGTGTATAACCCGGCAGGCCCTCAGAGCTGTGGGTGGGGTGAGTGCTTGGTGCAGTACTGAATTCCTGCTAGCCCGAGCTCTATCAGGGTGCCTGACTGCAGTCACAGCTGTCCCACTGCCCACTCAGCTTCTGGGCAGCATGTGAGCTGGGAGGCAGCTGGTCATGGCCCAGGGACGGAGGTCCGCGCCACCCTGGCAGGAGACCTGGATTGTTCCTGCTTCCTGGAGATGGCCTGGCCCAGATCTGGCTATTATGGGCACTTGGGAGTGGCCCAGTGCATGGACAATGTCTCTCTGTTTATCTGCCTTTTACATACAATAAATAAGCAAATAAAGACAAAATATCCCCATTGACTTCTCAGATGACTATGTGTCCACACAAAACCCTGCACAGGAATGCTCCGAGCAGTACTGCTCGTGAGACAGAACCCCTCCAAATGCCATCACCTGAAGGCCAGGCAAAGCAGCCGTGGCACATGGCACAACCTCACGGACCTCAGGACCTTTTTACCTCCTAAGTGAAAGGAGCCAGAAACAGATAACCTGCATCCATTTCTAGAAAACGTCCAGCACAGGCAAATATAAACAGATAAAAAGTAGACAAGTGGCTACCAGGGGCTGGAGGGGCTGGGGAGCAAGAGGGCAACTAATGGTGGGTATGGGCTTCTTTTGGGGGGGTGAGAAAAATGCTCTGTAATAAAGAATTGTAACAAATAACGGATGGTTTCCCCACTCCATGAATAGATTAAGTATGAGCGAGCTGTGCACTTCAAACGAGTGCATTTCATGCTACGTGAATTGCATCTCACTCACATTGCTTCCTAAAAACATCGTCAGAGACAGACAGTTGAAAAGTTTGCATAACTAAACATTCAAGTACATTCTGGCTATAGGCAAAAGGTGAGAAAGATGATGCAGGGTGGGCACTCCGTGCTGTGGCTACAAAGGAGCTGGGATGCCTGACTCACACTGTAGAGAATCCAAGTTTGGCCCAACTCTGCTCTCCATCCCAGCTTCCTCCTGCTGCACCCCCGGGGGCTGGCAGAGGATGGCTCAGGTACCAGGTCTTCCCGCCCATGGGAGGCCTAGAGAGCGCTCTGGCTCCTGGCTGGGGCCTACCTGAGCTTCTGAGAGTGAACCAATGTTTGGCAGATGTCTGCTTCTTGCTCTAAATATGAGGAGAATGAATAAAAATCTAAAATGCTTCCCCTAAGGAAATACAAAAGCATAATAAACATGCAACACATCTCCGAGACTTACAACAAACAGCAGTGTTGCGGTAAATTTCAGGCAATTTATCCCAAGGGTTACTCACAGAAACTGTACTAAGCTTGTCACTGACTACACTAGTCAAAAATGTTACTTTTTTTTTTTTTTTGCATACATGCAGGGAAAAATACCAAGTCTTTAACTTGCAGATTCCACTTGGAAGTTAAATTAATTAATTTGCACTTGAAATTGAAGAACAAAAGAAGCTTGGTTACAACAGTTTTGATCTATTTTATACAGGTATTTATTAAATATTTATTAAAATGCTTTTGTCTGAAATAATGCTATAGGCACCAAAAACAAACAAATATGAGCAATTGAATCCTACACCTTCTGTTCAATAAAGCCCGGGTCTCCGCAGCAGGCGGCATAAAGAACTCTACCCAGGGGGTTAATCAAAATTCCCTTAGAATAATTGAAATGCATCTGCATTTTCCCCCAGAAACCACAAAAAAGTCACAGTAAGCAGAACATATAATTTTGATTATTAGCACTGAGCCTATAGTAGCACAATGTGCTGTCCCCAGAAATTAAGTTGCGGGCACCATATCATCATTGTACTAAGGCAGTGATGTCTCCCCTAATGAGACTGAAAGACTCAAGGAAATCAAGAGACTCAGAGGGATGAGCACTGGCTGTAGGGGTGAGGCTTTGTGCAGGGGGAGCAAGCTGCCTACTGCGCCAGAGCAGCACGGGGCGGGAGCAGTCTCACGGGTCACCGGGTCACCGACCCCCACCTTTCCTTTCCCAACAAAGGAAGGTTCCTGAAGGTCACACCACTAGTTTGCAGTGTTCCTGAGCTGAGAGATGAGAGCAGTCATGCCTGCGTACTTCACACGGGTGTGACGCAAGAGATGGAATTCTCTGGAACATCTCAAAGCTGGAGTGGTGAGGCTGGTTCTGGGGGTGGTCATGGGTCCTCTGGGACAATGGCGACACTCAAGCCTCCATTCAACATGAGCAGGAGCAGAAATCTATGAAATTCAGGTCTGGACTCACAGTTTGGGGGGACCTGAGGGTCGACCAGCTGCCTAAGACCTTTCCTGGGCGGAATGAGAGATGAACAGTGGTGGTGCTAGCAGAAGGTCCCTGGACAATTGATTCTGCTCTGGCTACCCTGCTGTGAACTGATACCAGGAGAGGCAGGCTTTAAAGATGTGGCCCTGAGGGGTCTGTTCCTCACCTTATGGTGCATGAGAAGTCCGGGTGTTACCTAAGTCAGCACCCTTGGAGCCAGTCACGTCCAGGTGGCCTGTGTGCCCACTGTGCTGCCTCGATGGGTATTTCCTACTCTGTTTCAACATCTTGGAGGGATGTGCAGCACCAAGAGGGACTGCCTCTCCCAGGGCTGTCTGATTCCCAGAGATGGTAACAACTTAGTGGGGAGCAAGGCATCTACCCCCTCTATCAACTCACTCACCAAGCCACTCTGCGCTGCCCTGCCCTAAATCATGCTAGGACCACATACTGGAGAATACCCCTGCATCCCTTTAACCACTTGTGCCACCGCGCTGGGCCCATACCCCTGCATCCCACGCAACTAATCCCAAGTCACGCCTCCAGCCACGCCTTTCCCAAGGAAGCCCCCCACTGAGACTCCTGCTCATGCTTTGGCCTTTGACCTTGCAGCCTCCTGACTCACAGTAGTGCGTTCAACACACTCAGGAAGCAGAAACAACGAATTCTTTCCTCTCTATCAGCTCCACACATTCCCATCTGCATGTCCACTTCCCCTAAACCTGCAAGATCAATGCCAGGTCGGCACATGCCTCATGTGCCAGGCTGTAGATGTGGTGGTCGAAAGTCACCGAGGACCTGGGCCCACAGGCTCCTGCATGACATGGCTCCTCCTGCCGCTGCTGTCTGATGGACCCAGGCCTGGCAGGAGGCTCATCTGTGCTGTGTGAGCATGGACCCCGGCAGGTTTACTTACAAGAAGCTGATAAACTGATGCAACAACATCCAATGGATCTTTCGCTCTAAGTGACTGAGGCATCAACAGATACAACCCAATAGGAGAGTTCTACCAAGAGCAGGCAGATTCTTGTATGTACTAGCAAGTACAGGGCCCGGTACAGTCCATTGCCCCTATCAGCTGGTGGTTGCAATTGCTGGGTCGGTTCTGTTTCCAGCCCCGTCTTCCACTGGAACCAATGGGTGTTGCAGTCCAGCCTGATTCTGCCCAGCACACACTCGGCGCTCACATAAACTAGTGGGAGCTGCAGCCTAGTCAGAGCAATCCACAATAACTCCCACAGGATCGCCCCTACCCTGGTTCTTGTGCTTGCCGGTATGTGCAGCAGACTAGTCCAGTCTGTCCCACATCCCATTCAGCTCTTATACATGTCAATGGGTATTGAAGCCTAGTTCAACATAACCAGCTCCACTATCCAGCTCACACACATGCTGTTGGCTGCATTTCTGTCTAGCCACCCCTGCTCCTGTCCTGGTTTTTGTGCTCTCCAGTGGGAGCGGTAACCTAAGAGGGAGGAGCCCTCCAATTGCCTTTCCAGTAAAAATAAATAAATCTTAAAAAAAAAAAAAGAAAAAAAAAGAACCACCCCTCCTCATCCCCAGGCTGCAGAGGGACCTGGGCCTTAGCTGTCTGCCTGGTGAAGTAGCAGGCTTCTAAGATGGAGCACAGAAGAGTCAATTTCACCTCCCAAGTTGCCTCTTCCTGGAAGCAGGGCTGAGGAAGGGCCAAGAGCCACAGGGGAGGCCCAGACGCCAGGGCACAGGAGCCACCATCTGTCCCACACCCAGGTGCATTGCAGGAACCCCTCTGAGCAACTCACTCAGCTTCTGAAGTTCCCGACAGGGGAGTTATCCCATCTGTAAAATGGGGTTCTACTGGCAGTCACAAACGGTGCTGAGACTTCGCAGACAGCACAAAGGGGCAGACACACTGTGGGCACCCAGTCTGCTGGGTCACCCCCGAGGGAAAGGCTGATTTAATGAGTGGCTCATGCAAGCAAGCGGTAGGCGACGTTTTGGCCCCGGAGAACTGTAAAACTGATCCCTACAACTCACACACTAATTACTTCCCTAACCCATAACTTGGGCAGGGATTCTATTTCAAACAAGGGCACTCTGCAGTGTGGCTGTGTCCCTTGATGCTCTGTAATTACTGCAGGCAATTAGCACTGATACCCTGGGAATTACCTTAGCTGTGGTCCTCCCGGCAGTGGTGTGAATTTGCAGCCCCAAGAGACCAGGGCGGGTCGGCAGAGAGGGAACTCAGGCGCCAGCCAAGATGTGGGCACCATCCGAAGGCCGGCACGCCTTGTCAAGGAGCCCAGCACCCACTGCTGTGAGCCAGGGCAAGCGCAGCACAGAGTGTTGAACAGCCAAAGGAATGGCAGAGAGCTTCTCTGGGAGACGCTTCCAGCACACTCAAACCCTGGATCACAACACACTCATCAGTAATGTGGACGGGGAACACACTGCACAGCACAGCGCCTCTGGGGGCGGGAGTGGTGAGGCGCTAAAGTCAACTTATCTGAGGGGTAGACAGTGTGATGCAGTGAGTTAAGGCGCTGTTTGGGACGGCTGCCTGCCATCTGGGAGTGCCAGCTGGAGCTGTGGCCAGGTGCTAAGAATCCAGCTTCCTGCGCTGTGTCTGGGTCCTCATGCCCAGCCCTGCTCTGAGCACTTGGAGGGTGAACCAGTGGGAAGAACGCCGACCTCTTTCTATAACTCTGCCATTGATTTTTAAAATATCTCTACTAAATAAATGCACTTTACTTTTAATCTGATCTTTCCATAAAATCTCTAGAACATCATACTTACTAAAAGTGAAGGAAAATCATATTCTCTAGGCCAGTGGGTCCCAACGGGCCAATGTATGCCCCCCCCAGGTTCCCCCTGGGGCCAGTCGGCAATGTTCAGGGGGAACTTCTAGTTGCTTCGCCTGGGAACAAGTTCTGGCTTCTAGAGGCTGGTGAATCTGCTAGGCACTGTCTAACACAGGGCAGTCCCCTACAAAAAACAACTTGCTAGGCCAAAATGGCGATGCTGCTGATACCACAAACCCTGTCCTAGGCCCAAAGCAAAAAGTACTGCCGTGCGAATGTAAGCCCCGGAACCAACCAAAAGCCGCAGTAATGAACACTGGATGTGACACACTTCAGGCCCCGTCGCGTCAGGCCATTGCACAGCCTGTCCTGTCCTCCCGCAGGAAGGACCAGCAGGCTCACTATTACTGCGCTCTTCTCCCAAGACCACTAACGTGATGCGTCTGTCGGTATCCATTCCTACAGAAGACCCCAAGCCCACAGTTACGGTCGAAATGTGTTCTCAACCCGGCCGACCTGCAGCTGACAACCCCCGGACCTGCAGGCCTCACCGCAGATCGGGGAAGTCTGCTCTGCTGGGGACGGAAGCCGGAGCCTGCGCACTCCACAAGCTTTCCCGGTGATTCTTACACACGTCTGGATCCTTCCCCATCCCTCTCTCCCTGAGCGTCCGAGGGGTCCACAGCATGAGACGCAGAGCACAGGCCAGCTCACACTGAGGCTGGGACACGGTCATGTCCTTTGTCAAGCGCGGGGCCTCTGCACACAGACCTGAAGCAGCAGCATTGCAGCACCAGGCGCCCGCAGCCACGGCTTGCTCTTACTGACATTCATTATTCCTCCAGGGAACAGTGTTCCTAAGCGCTTGGCTGCCACGGGGGCCACGCTTAAACACACACTTCGTGTTTAGCACTCAATAACAAATAGCATGTTAACCGTGTTAAGAGGTCATACCCACAGGACGAACAAAAATGTGGCTTTTCAACTCAAAAAACAATGATTTTTTCCTTCTGAATTTTTCGGCAGACTGAGTGCCAAGTTGTGGGCTCAATTGAGATAACAATTTCAGATGATAACATGTTGAAAGGCAAGCAGAAAGGGAAGAGGGGCCTCGGGCGGCCAAGGGAAGCGGCGGGCAGGCAGGAGCGGTCAGCAAAGCAGAGCCATTACTAGCCAAGTGCTGCTATTTTCAGGCATCTCAAACTTTTTTCTTCTTTTTTAAGATTTATTTATTTTTTACTGGAAAGGCAGATATACAGAGAGGAGGAGAGCCAGAGAGGAAGATCTTCTGTCTGCTGATTCACTCTCAAATGGCTGTAATGGCCAGAGCTGAGCCAAAGCCAGGTGCCAGGAGCTTCTTCTGGGTCTCCCATGCAGGTGCAGGGTCCCAAGGCCTGAGCCACCCTCACTGCTTTTTCAGGCCACAAAGCAGGGAGCTGGATGGGAAGCAGGGCTGCCGGGATTAGAACCAGTGCTTGCTTGCAAGGCAAGGACTTCAGCCACTAGGCTATCACGCTGGGCCCTCAAAATATTTTCTTATTGAATCCTTGCTACCAATGGACAAGTAGAGCATGTCTGTGTTGCTGAAGAGAAAATTGAGGAGTGGGACAGTTAAGTTACTCTCTCGAGTTCACAAAGCTGGTGGGCGGGCGAGCTGGGAACCAAAGCAGGCCAAGGTCCGGTTTGTGCTCACTAACACCCTGGCAGTGACTCATAGAAGTGACTCGTGACCATCCGACCCCGTAACCCCACTCTGCATTGATAACCTGCCAGAGAGCATGTGGTTAGCTTCCTGTTGCTCTAAGGCACAAGGTCTGGGGCCTTCACTCTGCCAAAGTCCTGGGGCCGCACGCAGCACCCCACGGCACGGGACGGGGAGCACATACGTCTTCCTGTTTTTATGTGACATTTTGATCTTTCCTTATAAAGTCCCCGGGACTCTGCTATAAGAAATCCACACTGATAAGCTAGTCTAATCCAATCACCTCCAAAGTCCCTACCCCCAAACACCATACTTGAAATGAGTTTCCACTCCCTTAGTTAGCATCACTAACAGAGATGTCAGAGACAGCCGTGAGTTCAAACCAGAGTGACAGGAGCTGGTGATGTGACACAGAGGAAAGCGGCCACCTGCAACGCTGGCACCCAGGCAGAGGTTCCTGACCCAGCTGCTCCACTTCAGATCCATCTCCCTACCAACGTGCTGAGAAAACAGGGAAAGACGGGGCAAGCACCTCGGGCCCTGCACCCGTGTTGGGGATCCATCAGAAAATCCTCCTGGTTCCTGGGTTATAACAGGCCCAGCTCTGGCCATTGTAGCTATCTGGAGAGTCAGTCAGTGGGTGAGATCGCTCTCTCTCTCGCTCTCTCGGTTCTCCTCTTCCTCTCTGTAGCTCTGGCTTTAAAAGAAAGAACTTTTCTTTTTTTTACAAGTAACTCTAAGGTGCTCTGCCTATGGCTTATTCATCAGAAATAGAACGCAGTGAAGTGAACCAATGCATAAAGATGCATCCTGACACACTCACAGAATCAGTTGTTGATCATATACAATTTTGAGATGCTTTGGTAGACAGTGAAAAGATTTTGAGTCACTCTGAACTAATTTGTGATGCCCAGGCCACTGTAAAGTCATGACTAGGGTTACACCCACTGGGCTGCCCACAGCGAGAAATGAGATAGATGACTCTGGAAAGAGATCAAGTCATAACTGCTTTAACCTCACGTGCGGGAGCCCTGGGGTCTCGCTCTGAGACGTGGGTGATTCTAGACTTCCAGGGTGCCCCCATCTCCCCTTTGTCCTCACGGGCAGTCCACTGGCTCTGGGGCTCCCAGAGTGCCTCTGCTGCTGCTACGCCCCCACCTGCTTGCTCGCCTGCACGCCTGTCCCTGCGCGGCAGACTGCAAACAGTCTATTATAGATGCCTCTCATGTTATTTCGTCCACCCTGGCATAATTCTTCAGACGCCGCACTGTGAGCTGATGACAGAGAAAGG